AAATTGTTGGCAGGAAAATTACTAGAAAAAATATACAAAAAAAAAAACAGATTCTAAATAAAAATAATAAAACAAAACGACGAACAGAAAATGCTGTAGCAAGGAAGAGCAGTCTTAGATGAAATGTTTGAAGACACTCGTTCGGTTATTTTCAATACGATATGGAGTCGATAAGGCAGAGATATAGAAGAAAATAAATCTCCCATTGGAGAGAGATTTTGTACAATTTCTTCAAGTCTATTCTTTAGAAGATAAGATTTAACTGTGGCCTTAGTTTAGATCAATTGATCTCAAAAAGTCTTATTCCATGCGCCACAAGTTCGCCCAAAAAACATTCATATATCTCAATGAAATGCCAGCACTCTAAGTATTACAAGAACAGTGCACAGTGAACAACTTTATGCCTGCAATTTCATTTAATTTTGCAAGTGTAGAGACACGAATACACAAAGGGCAGCCGGCAGGTCCAGAAGTCGTCCAGCTGCCGTTCCTCAGACTTCAACTCAGCCTCTGATTCTTATTCCATTTGCAGTCCAAGTGAACCTCAGCCTCAGAACTGTCGACGTTATCATTGTCGTCGTTTCGTCTTATTGAGACAAATAAATTTGGGGTGTTTGGTGCCACATGGCGATGCCAACTGCAGTTGAAAGGGATTTTCCCTGGATATTTTTAATTTTGCGGAGAGAATAAAAAACAAAACTTTGCACATAATCGTTATCGTCAATGTTGAGAGGGTAAAAGCAGGAGCATAATAAGCCCAGAAAGAAACCAAGAAGGAAGCACCCCAAGACCAAGGTGCCGTGCCCACTGGTCCTGGACCCTCGACCATAATTTGCGGCCAACAAAAGCAGCAACAAAAGCTTTTCTTCTGTTGTATGTAAAAAATTAACATTTTTATGCTTCCGCCAGGGCTGCAGAAGGAACTTCAACTCCATCTCCACTCCACTACCGAGATAGAGAGAAAGGGAGATAGAGAGATAGAGATGATATAGACAATGTCGTAGAGCTAGAAAGTTTTTATCCAAAACAACAATGGAGCAGAACTTACACTCATGGTTATGAGCAGGAGATGAAAGCCGGGATCTGGAAGGGAATCAGCGGTAGCCAAGGCAGCGGTAAGTAAGTTTTAATTACTCTTTGACAAATATTTAACTTTTGGGAGCAGCAGGAAGAAAAGGGAGTAGCAGGCAGAGGCAGAGACGTTGTCTTACGCATAATTAAACAGATTCGCCGCTTGTAAGGCAAATGAAATCTCGTTCGGGCCAAGGGGGAATTTCGGTTCTGGTTCTGGTTTTTCGGTCTGTTCCTGGTGGGGTTGGCTCTTGTTACCCTGTAACAACATAATTTTGCGCCGTATAATGTCATAAATGTCTGTTAAACAAAACAAAACAACAGACGTCATAGAGTGGGACAGCAAGACAGAGGGAGAGACAGCTACCAGAGACTGTCAAACATTATTACATTATTTGCCTTTTGCTTTTGCTTTTGCTTTTGGGTCTGGTCTGTCAAAGTGCTGAAATTGAAACCAACCCCGTGAATCTCAGACCCCTCCTCCCCCTTCCATCAACAGCCATCGTCTATACGGTTTTTGTTTCTATTTGCTTTTTGGGTTCGTCTCTTGATTTTGGGATTTCTGGTTCTTAGATTACTCTCGCCAATCGCCAATGCAACCCCGACACGACATCGGAGATTAATTGCGACTGGACTGTCTTCCCCTGCCTCTCCTTGCGTTTCCTCCTTCCTTTGCAATGAAGGAAAAGGGGGAACTTCATCGTCGAGTGCCCCCTGACGGCAATTATTAAATTTTCATTACATCCCCTAATCAGCATTTTGTGCATATTGATTGTGTAAACAGTCGTCACATAGTAGTCATACTCGTATACGTAGCTGCTGGCCTCTCCTCTCCTGTCCTGTCCTCCTGTACTGATCGAATCTCTGCGATTTGCTCGGGTTGAGTTTCAGTGGCTAATGTTGTTGAAGGGCTTTGAGTTTGAATACTGATGTGATTTGGCTGCTTAGCAAATGGTTTTTGACAGGTGTTGAAGTGTTAAAGTAGTGGTCTTAATTGAAAATGGAGAGAGGCAGGACAGGCAGAGGAGTCAGTGATTTAATTTTCGATTAAAGGGTTAATTGGTTAATCAAATTTGGGGGACGCGATTGAGACGTTGCAAGCTCTATCTATGCCTGTACAGCAGCCTGCAGAATTTTAATTTTTAACACCTTTTAATGGGATGACAGTAAGTGTAGTTCGAAAGATCTTTAAGGTTCCAAGAACAGGAAAAATTGTAACTAAACTTATCTTTAAGAAATTAATAAATACTCAAGCTTAATTATGTGAATGTAGTATATGCTCATAATTCTTATGAAATATATAACTTTCTTTTGCATGAGATAGGAGAAGTTCGGGGGAGAATTTTAATAAATAGATTTGTATTGAAAATGTTATTTGAATGCTCAACTGGTAAAGGCAGTTCTTGGCTTGGGCATGGGCTTTCATCTGGCACCTGAAAACTGCAGCTATTACACACCATAAAAACCATCTAATTATGCCACTTTCCGTAACATTCATTAGGATTATTAGTCGCCACTAATGGTACAAATTGATCTCACGAGTCTGCAATTATATCAACTCCAAAAATATGCCCAGCCATCTTCGCATCCCTCAAAGTTTCGCAAGACTGAGCTCTGTTGATCTTGTGCAACATTTGAGTGTTGTGTTGTGTTGATTTGACTTTTGCGATTTGTGCTGACATTTCGAATCAATAAAATCGCACTTTGTACTGCCACACTGCAGGTGCCACTGCCGCATGCCACTTAAGGGGATCGGGCATGGAAAGACCCACACACACGCATCCCATCAGGCAAGCAGGCAAATGGCAAGCAACCGACGATGTCTTCCTCAAATAAGCCGATTAATTGTAATCAAGCAGGTCTCAAATGGACACTGACTGAACCCACCAGCTGTGCCCCCTCTCAATCGAATGGTATGGAACGGAACTAGACTCAATGGATGGTAGATGGTAGCTCTTTAATGGTTGCCCCCGGTCTATCGATTTCTGTTGTCTAGCCCGTTGGGTCAATGCATGTAGCCTGGGGCAAAGAAATAAATAAATTGCAGCAGAAAAGAAGAACAAAAGGCAAAATAATTGAAACACTTTCTACCCCCACTTTCTACCAAGTACTCCTGAAGTTTTGTCTAATAAAAAGGAAATGCAAATAGTACTACGGATATGGGTTCTCCTCATATTAAAATTTAATAGGAGAGCGTATCATGACTGGGATCAGGTACTTCCCTTAACCAACCGATTTTATCTTCTGCATTAACATCCACATTTCCCTTATAGTATTTTGTGACTCTAAAGAAATTGATAAACAAATTTGTATTTTATGTATTTATGTACAGAAGTAAAAATGCCGCTCGCAGTGCATTCCAGGGTAGCAGCGACTCCAAAGCAAACCCCTCGCTTCATGCTGTTGGGTGGTTTTGTAATGACAAATAATAACCGGTAGTCCTGCTGGTCCGCCTCCGCCTGCGCTGCCTGCACTCCCTGTGCTTGCTGCTTGCTGCTCCCCATGTCAGTGGGCAAATTAATGGTGAAGTGTAAGTAAAATTTACGCTCTGCCACCACAGGCAGTTCTCGGTCTATCCCCCAGCCCAGACGACTTCTGCCCTCCCGACGTTGTTCCCATCTGCTAATAATCATAAAAAAGGCGGCTAGCAGCATTTTGACAACAGGCAACCCCACCGAATCCGCTGCACCCGCCACGCCACACAGTCAGGCGGCAATCCATGGCCCCATACCCCAAACCCGTCTCTACAGCCATCTTCCCCGCCTCCCCATTAGCGGGCTTTTTTTTGGCTGACAGCCGCAAAATAAAGCAACTGAGCAACAAAAACAAATATAAATAATATTACTTTATTGTTTAGCCCAAACAGGCCCCCCCGCCACAACAGTCTACTGCGGACCATTGTCTGTGTTTGGATGGATGTTGCATTTGTCAGCAGACTGCGTTACGGGCTACCCACTGATTAGCAACAGTCCAAGAGACCCCGAAGTGAGTGTTGCCTGCCCATTCGATTGTCTGCCTGTTACTGCTGCTGCTGCTGCTGGTGCTGCTGCTGCCGACTGTTGCATATTTCGAGTGATATTTATTTATTTGACTTGGACTGCTGTATGGCCCAGCCGAGATCTCCGGAAATGAAATCAAATCTGATGAGATTCAAGAGAAAAGCACTACACCAAAGAGTTTTCAGAATGATGACAGCTCAATAAGTGCCCACTGTTTTATAGGGATTATTCTAAGTATAGAAGGAAATGTGAATAGAAATTAAAAAATAGAAACATAAATATTATATTTCTGGGGAATAAATTTAAAGATTAAAGATTAATTTAAAGGAGAAATCGGGAGGGAGAAAGCCTCGTAAATATAAATTTACCAATAACTCATAGCTCCAAAAAATGTTCAAAGTTCCAAGCAAGCTCAACCTTTGTATCAATCTACATAGAATAATTTTAATTGCCATACGCCCTCTTAAGGTCTTCAGCTGTTCTACAAGAGCCCTTCACCAATTCACCTAATTACCAACATCTGACAGTAGTTTAATGAATAAATTCTTGATTTTTATGTTATCAAAGTTCAGCGGGGTCGAGCAAATAAAGAATCAAGCAAGCCAAAGTTCAGTTCGTGGGTTAAACATGGAACATGGAACATGTAGACATTTTTTAATAATTGCAGTCAAAGATAATAATTGTAAGCGTTGATTTCTGTCCGGCCGCATAGGCTCCATCGGTGGGCATGGGATCCACAAATTGAACAGCGAAATTGCGAGTTGGGGAGGGGAGTATGCTATAAAAACGAACGCCCATAAAATACTCGCTCTGCGCACATGGATGGTCGTAGGACAAAACAATTTGATGGCTGAGTGAAAGATCTTCATCAATTGATAAGGTTTCTGTTCAATTAAGATGCTGATGCGGAATAACTGTGTTCTGACTCACTTGTACAGGCTCTGCATGTCCATGCCATTGCTGCCGGCTCCAACTCCAATCATCCCAGCGCCACCCAGCAATCCGCCAACGCCGCCGCCGCCTACTCCACCTGGCACTCCTGCGTTAAGCATTGTTCCGCCATATCCCAGATTGGCGGGCAATCCTTTGGTTCCGGGCACTATGATTCCAAGGTTTGCCAGTCCAGCCAGGGCATGTCCATGGGGGTGTCCACCTCCTCCATGCGTTGGGACTCCCAGGCCGCCTCCGCCCTGTGCTCCCCTCCTGCATGCCAGGGAGAAGCACCTCCACCGCCGCCTCCCCCTGTCGCCACAGAGGGAGCACTCGATGTACTGCTGCCGAGGCCTGCCAGTCCACCCAATTGATTGATCAGGGCACCTCCGCCAGATCCCGATCCCACGCCCTGGCCTCCACCACCAACAGCGGAACCCCCCATCAGGGTGTTCAGCAGTGTGCTGTTGTGGTTCATGTTCATGCCACTGATCTGGTGGTGCTGATGCTGGTGCTGGTGCTGGCTGTGCTGGCCCAGATTAGGGCTGCTTTCCAGGTTGCCATTTCCCAAAAGCAGCTGATCCTCACTCCGCAGCTGACAGAGCCCCAGGCGACAGAGGATAAGCACCAAAAAGATTTTCACAGTTGACGGCATTTTCACTGGTTTTGTTGTTGTTGTTGTTGTATTTTTATTGGTGTATTGTTGGTGTATTGTTGGTGTATTGTTGGTGATTGGTGATTGTTGATTGTTGATTTGCTAAATGCGTTTTCTATAGTCTACTTTTTGGCGTGTTTGTCGTTTGATATATTCTTGATTTTATGTTGTGTGGCTATGTCGTAAGTACTTTCTTGTGTGTTGTTAATAAATTACTAAATTCTAGATTACTACCTCATTAAATATTTATTATTATTTTATAGTCAATATATATTCGGATTCTGTTGTTCGTGCAATAGAAATCTGTGGTAAAATTGTGGTATAAAAATTGTTTAAAATTCTATATTTAGGTATATATTCGTATTTCGATTTCCCTATGCCGAAATGCGTTTTATAATTGAGATTTTATGTATTTGATAATTGAATGAATTATTATTATTTTTTTTTTGTTAATTTTTGATGCTGCTTCTTTGTTCGTAAACTTATTTTGGACTTCTTAATACTTTTCGTTTGATTTCCACTTGGTTTTGTTTTTTCTTTCGCGCTCCTACATTTTTGTTTCCTTTGCCGACGCTGAGAGCTCTCCTTTCTGTGCAGCTGGACTGATTCTCATTATTCGAATTATTTTCACATTGGCACTTCAAACGGCAAAAGATGTTTTATTTATTTAAGCGATGTGGATGTCGATGTGGATGTGGATGTGGATGTAATGCGGTGCGTTCGTGGCTGGTCTGAGTTTTCCTTGTGGTTTTCGGTTTGTTTTTATTTTTGGCTTCCTGGAAAACGTTTAGCCAGAGGCTCTTTCTTGGTTCATTCGCTGATCAAATATGGAACATCAAAAGGCCGCGCCACACGAAGGCGTTCGATGCCAGGCGCTCGTTCGAATTGCCCCCTGCCCAATGATCGGGCGTATCGAAAAACCCGTTTGACAAGAAGCGTCGATGTTGCAGTTACCGCCACCGACGCCGTCGCAGTCGTCGCCACCGCCTCCTCACACCGATCCATCCATCTAAATAGCTTAAGGGTTTTCCGATGCACATAAAAAGACGCCGCCTGGCATTTACACTTGTGGGCCGGCCGGCCGGCCACTAGCCATACACGCACAAAATAGATCTTACAACAAGGACGCTGGCTCTGGGTCTGGGTCGGGGTCTGGCAACGAACGATAATGGTTCAATCACTCGATCTTTATGTTTCCCAATTCAAAACTTCTTTCAGTTTGAGTTTCTGGTTGCCGGATATGAACAGTTTTTCACACTTTTACACGCTGATTTGTGACTGGAGTTTTCTGGAGTTTCGATTTCGACTTCGCTTTCAGTTTCTGTTTCTGTCTCTGTCTCTGTTTCAGTTTCTTGTTCAACCACCGCGGCACACGTGCGTTCATCAGCTCGCTCGAAACTCGACTGAATCATCGGGGCACATCGTCAGTGGCTCGTAGCGCGGCACTCGAAGTACTCGTTGCTGTTGCTGTTGCCGATGGTGGCTGGTGGCTGGCACTGGTGTTGCCTGCTTTTTGTGGCCGTTCTGATAGGCACAACGTCGTGGTCGTGGTTGGCGCATGCGTGCACAGCCAGTGGAAGCTTGCAGCTCGCCCTTGCAAGATGTGGCACTGCCACCAATTGATCGCCGTCACAATATATAGACAGCACTTCATTAATTATGACGACAAGTTGTCAAGTTGTAATTGCCCCGCAACTAATTGGCACGAAAGTATCTCAAACTATTGAGGCAAATGCAGAGTATTTCAGACTACTACTGCACATTCTCTGGCCACTTTATCTGGGCGCTAGCTCGCATTTTCAGATAAACCCTGTTTGGATAGCCGAGGTTTTTCCTTGTTTGCTCGCTTGCGGCCATCCATCAGGCCTCTCTCAGGTCTCTCCAATCTCTTACACACTTTTCTCCTTAGCTTAGGCTTATCCAAGGCATACAGAGCTCACCTTTCCACTTGTCTTCAACTTTGGATGTTTGTTTTTTACCTTCTCTGGCTGGCTCTGTCTCTGCCTCCGTTCTCTCTCCGCCGCGGCGGTCGCTGCGTCAACACATTCCCGAAAGGGCAAGGCACTCACTTCGCGGACGCGGACACGGACACGGACACCGCCTAAATGAGTCAAAAATTGCAGCCACAACTTTTGACCCAAAACCCTTGGATAGATACCACAGCACTCACCTCAGTCTGTCCGGCATCCAATCCAATATTTGCGCAAGGTAATTACAAAAACAACATCACGAATTCCTGATGGTCGCTGGTCGGAGGTTGGGGGTTGGGCCAGAGAATCATCATTTGGTTTGTCTATTTGTCCAAACATTTGTCAATTTCATTGAGCTCTGACCAGGCATATTTCCTCATGCGATCGAAGGCGGCGGCAAGTGCTTTTGATCGCACCATCCTCTCTCTCTCTATCTCTGTCTCTTTGTCGACTTTTTCGGTTCAATTAAGATTCATTTTAACGCTTCCCCAAAAGAGAGAGGGAACGACAGAGCGAACGAACCAACGAACGAACGACATAAAGCATGATTGTTCATTCTCGGCGTTTATCTAATTTACTTTTACTTACACTTACACTCCCAACTACAAGCGCCCCCCTCCGTGTCCCATGGTGATCCGATAAGTATCTGGCCGATGGGAATGGGACACCGGCACAGACACGGACTTGGGCCCCCGCTCTGTGCAGTGATGACCAGTTTTATTGGCTTGACAATGGGCCCGTGTGTGTGTGTCTGGGCAAGAAGGTGAGGAATGGAATTGTTGTTCAAGTGCCCTTTGATTGCGGTACTTTAAGTGGTGGAGTGGATCGGAGCGAGATGGCGTCTAGCCTCAGCCTTAGCCTCGGGCTCATCGCTCGATCCAACATCCCCCATTCCACCATTCTAATGGTTTCTAATGAACTACTTAAGCTGCTGATAGGGCAGTGATTGACGATTGACGATGATTCGACTGCGCAGCCATGATCTGCTAATCTGCTAATCTGCTTCGTTGAAGTGCTGTCAATACACGAGGCGATATCTGGGGTTCTATAACGTATTAGATACTCGTATTGCTGCCCCTTAGGGCTTATCTACGGATTGAGTCCCACACATACGAGTATGTATATATGTATCTCCTTTGGGTTTGCGAAAAACTTTATTTTGTTTATTGGTTGTACGAGCATAATCGTCGTGGCCACAAATTTACAAATTCTAGATTAATTATTTTCCCATGCCAGACGTTTGTGTTTCAGTTAATTATTTTTCTTTGAGATACTCTTCCCGTTTTGAAGATACATTTTGTATCAAGGTCATAACCAAATAGATTATGGAGAACTTTTGTTTCTCTCACATAATTCTGCCTCCTTTGATTTTCTATCTAGCAGATAAATTTGTACTTTTGAAAACCGCTGCTTATTTATTTAAATTCCAAATCATTTGCATCTGTCTGACAATATACAAATGATTTTTTAATAATTGTTTTCTACTTGAATCTTTAAGATATTTTTGTATTTATATTATATAATTTTTTCAAACTCTTTAATATTCATTTTATATAGAATAGTTTGGAGATATTTTTGCACTTTTTCCCTGTAGTCGTGTAAAAATATTTCTTTTATTTCCTCTGAAATGTTTTGTTGGTCCGTTCTGGTAAGCTGCATCGTATTAAATCGCTTCAATCACCTAACCGCATAATGCATTTTGACTTGTTCCAAATGCAATTATATAGGATATTCCAAATATGCATTCTCCCTTTCGTTTCTGCAGAAAAGTTCAGTGACATTGCCCATTGGCCGTGTTAAATGGAGCGTAAAATTGCAATGTCAAAACATTTTGTGCAAATGAAGAAACCCACCAACCTCAGACCCCCCCACTCGCATATCATGCCCACTCCCAGAGCCCCTTCTAATGCGACAATGGCATGACTGGGGACCGTTTAAGCTGTCCGCTAATTGTCGCCGAAAAACCAAATGCCGTTTGAAGTGGCAACTCCACTTTGTGTTTTGCGCTGCCCTTTGAAAACTGCATTGGAAAACTGTTGTTGTATGTAGACGATTTCCTGTGTTTTCCCAACTGGGAAACGAAAGAAATTTTCATTAGTCTCGAACCTACTTCAGACATAACTCGTTGTTTATGAAAAACAAACTTTTGGTGTTTCTTCGAGGGATGGAATGGAGGATGGAGGAACGAGCACTCACAAGCGTAAATCAAACACTTGCCAAGCTTTTGGTCAGAAGTCTAAACATTTTTACAGACACCTGCCACCAATGACGTCTTGTTTTTGGTGTCTGCCAACGATTGTTGGCCTGGATCGCTCAATCACGCGAAGTCAAGTGATGCGATGGCACGCTGATGCTGCTCTGCCGTTGATCAGCGATCTTTGGGGCTCTTAAACTTCTTAATTGGGAACGGGGCGCCACCCGATTGCTGTGCAGTTATTGCGAGTGTATGATTATGAGTGCACTTCAAAGAGATATTCCACTTCAAAGAGTTGTTCCAAGGGAATGAATGCCAAACCGAACCGAACCGACACACAGCACAGGTAGGCCGCTACTCGTACGACACTACTATGCCACACAGGTTGGGGTCGCTGCTGCTGCTTCCTTTCATTAATGCTGCCGCTGCTGCTGCTGCTGCTGCTGCACGCGACATTAATTTCAGTTCCTGCCACGGAACTGCGACTAACTGCCCCGCCACACAGCTTCTGTTGGAGTCGGGTCCTCTCCTGAAATTAATTTCATAGCCAATTGCTTCGTCATAAAATGTAATTTTACATCTTCGACTTCCACCACGGCTACGGCTACGGCTACGGCTGATGGTTTCTTTTTTTTTTTGGGATTGGTTTTTATGGTTCTTCAATTGAAGGAAACAGAGACGAAAACGAGGAGAGTTCTTTAACTCGCTGCAATTAGTGCGTCATTATTATTTGCAATTCGAAAACTATGTGGGAACCGTCAGAAGAGTTCCCCGCATTCTGGAGTACAATATATGCACATACATATGCACATACATAATGGACCCGCATGGAGTCCAAGTTCTGCCTGTCAAATTTATGACAAGTTATGAGCGGCAGCAGCATAAACAAAGGCAAAATAAGAATTATCATACAATAAACCCATCATCATTAAAATTGAAAGCGATCTCTCGTGCGGCAAGACGAAACTAAAACTTCTCCATCGTCCGCACCAGTGAGGAGCTTCAGCTTCGTCTGCTAAACATGCGATAAGTTGGTGGTAACCTCTTTAAGCTCCTTACAGGATAAGTCCTCAATTTATAGGCAGAAATCGTAGTCGTAGTCCCCCACATGGGAGCCGAGAAAATTGTTTCTTAAAGCTTTCATCACACAGGCACACACAGGCACGCAGAATCCGCCTTCCCATTCCTTCGGGTCAACATGTTTATGCGACAAATATCCATAAATAGTTTTACGCTCTTACGGGTTCGAGTACTCGGCAAAAGGACTCTCAGCCCAAGGATACACGCAGAGCATAGCAGAGCCTGCTGCTGCCACTTAAGGTAACCAAGCAGCAGAGGCAAGGCGGCAGCTAGACACATTTGGCAACAAAAAAAAAGAAGGGGATAAGGAGTAAGTGGGAATGCCATGGTAGAAAACACGACTAAAAGATACCCGCTACAGTAGGGCTAAAAGGACTTTTATTTACGATGAAACTTATAATGGTGGATGGGTAGAAAATATCGAAATATAGTACACTCAATCCAAAGTAGAGTTCTCAGCATCACGATGAGTCTCAGATAAACCCATGCTTGATGCTGCTCACACGACATACCCTTTGAAAACCTACGATTAACAGGGTACAATACCGCTTGCTATTGAAAAGGTGGAACAAAGGCGGCAACGGCAACGGCGACGGCGACGGCGATGGCAATGGCTACGACAACGTCGTCGTCATCCTCATCGTCTGAAGTAAGTAGCAATTTAATCAGCTCGCCCCAAGGAAAGGAAAGGAAAGGGGCACTCGGCGATGATGTTGTCAAATGGTTAGTCTTACCCCCCAATCTCTCCAACAGACGACCAGACCCCGAGTGTGTTTAATGTGGCGCACACCGAAAAGCGGAATGAGAAAAAGTGCTTTGGATACTTTTGCCTCATTTGACTCATCTGAGCCACGGAACCAACGGAATTTGTAATATGGTTTAAATGTTGTTCAGTTTTCGTTTTGTTTTTGTTTTTTCTGTTTTTTTTTATTCAATTAAAGCGTGTTTTGCTTACAGTTAATTAGCACAACTCAAGAGCCTGCGGGCCATGAAAAAAGGGTGGATGGCATGCAAATGGGGGGAAAAATCTCTCGAGCCCAGCAACATGTTGCCCCAAACCAATGGCAATCGAAAGCATTCAAGAAGTGGCGTGGCGCGTGCTGGTTTCCGATTTGGGTTGCGAAAACGAGGTGATGGGGCTGTACTATATTATTCCCATATTTCAATAGACTTCC